AGTAAATTTTCGTTTTTTATAAGTATATTAAATTACAAATTTTATTAAAAAAAATTTCCGGCATTTGTAAAATATTCTGGAAATCTGCTGCGCCATAACCGAAAAATTTCTGGGATTAAAAAAATTTACCAGTTTTATTAGATATTAATCAGAAAAACTGGGTAAATTAGAATAGATTTTTTACGCTGATGGCAGATACCTGAAAAAATCATGCTTACTAGATGCGAATAAAGTTTTGTTTTGCAAGTGGTTCATGTGTAGTACTCGTGTGAACTTTCCAGATACTCTAGGCCCATGTAGAGCCACAAATTGACCTTGATGGATCTTCTCAAGAAGTGGACGACTCTCCTCTGTTGGATCCACGAAGTATACATCATGAATTTGATTTGGTTGAATGGCACCATTTACTTCCCATCTCTTTTTTTTGGCGTGAAGGTCACTACTAATCAAACAAACTATTAGTGAGAATAGGCACGACGCAGAGCAAAGCTAGCTCTGTATACTCTTAGGCAAATCATAAGAATGAGTAATAAATACTACGAAAATAACTGACTAGAAAGACGTTCGTTGAATAATACGTAAGGCGTACAAACGTTAAACTATTACAATATATAACAGAACTTACTTTGGCTGTTCAACTGAGAGACGAACTCTGCAATGTTTATAGCTGGCCCAAAAGAAATAAATAAGAAGCCTCTGTTCGGTAAGCAAAAGGAACGCACTACCATTAACATTATTATTTTTGAATTTTTCAATTTCATCATCGGTAAGAGAGAATTTATTTTGCTTAGACTTCAGAAAATTTCTAACTTCTTTTACGCTCCAACTATCAACTATTTCGAATGAGGGATTAGCAGTAGTAGTACTTGTAGACATTTCGATTTGAAAAAAAATATATTGGGAGTCGATGATGTATAATTTCAGAAAAAAGAAAAAAAATTTGGAGGTATATATAAGAATCTATTGTCGCACAAATCAGTCGGTCATAATTCTGATTTTTTTTCACATACTGCACTTATGATTAAAAATTCAAAACCTGAAATGTGAGCGAAACTTTATTAATAATTTTTCAGATACAGTAAGAAGCCACGAAACGAAAAATGGTAGAGATTGCAAGCGAAACAATGATGTTATTAAAGAGCCCACTATATTCATTATTTTCATCCTGACCTTGGTCATAACACTAATGAGAACCTTGAAAGGGAACTATGTATTGGTTACAAGCTCTGAAGACGCCTCCTTTGCAAATGTTCAGCCTAAACTGAAAGTAAATAACTTTCCTTAATTGTCTAATGTCTCGTCTGGTATTTCGCTAAGTAACTTCTGTTTCACTGGCACTTTTTCACACTGAGATACGTAGTGAGTATACCCGTTATATTTGCTTATTTACATAGTTACAACATTCATATTTACGGGTTGTAAAATTTCGTTTACCTCGAGAAAGGAATTTTTTTTTATTTAAGCTAATATATATGTCACACACCCCTATTCTTTGGCAAGCGTATTTCAGGTGATCGATCTACCCTGCGTTATCACATGAGGTGACGTAGTATTCCAGATAGTTTTAGAACATTATGGAAAGATTTTTTTCTGTTACCATTTGTTCTGTTTCCCGTTTGTCATTTTCCTTTAATCCTAACAAAAAACAAAATGAGTGTCGCAACAGAAGGTTCGTAAGATATGCCCATCCAAGTGACTCAGGAGACCAGACGAGCCTCCAAAATTAACCAGGTATTTAAGTGATGTTTAAAATAAATTAAGAAATGGCAATTATGGCTAACGAAGTATGATAGATCTTCGCAAAGATTGATGACTCATTAACGCAAATAAAAGGTTAAAACATTATAAAGATCAATATCCCAGATCTTGAAAAAGTTGATAAACACATACGTGAGGCCATACATAATAATTATAATGCTCAAATAATCGATTGTGACATATTTATTAAGGTAAGTTTTATCACAAATTACATTTACGTTTATTATTAAATCTGACCCAATTTTATATTAGTATGATGGAGGAAATAAAGAAGGAATTCAACTCAAACTTGTAATTTCGGCTAGGACACAAAATCTGATTTGGTGGGTAACTCTTAATACGATATGCGTTGCTGGGGACAACGATTATCGACCTGATGTTAGCATATGGTTTCAAGTGCTAAAATTTACACAATGGCAAAATCCACTTATAAATTCTTGTCTGCCGCCAAATGTATACATAGAGGTAACTAAATTCTTGCAATGAATAATTGTAAATAACTTTGCTTACAATGTTTGAATCCTTGCAAGTGTTTTATAACCAAGACCCGGATAGAGCAAATGCATTAACTAGAATTGCTCGGGTTCAACAAAGTAATCTTATGATTGAATTTGTTAGAGTCACGCTTCCTGAACTAGTTCATCCTTACTACCAGAATCCTAATCCCGAGGTAGCCTCAATTCCTGCAACTTCAGTTAATAACCAAAATCAAAGACCTAATCAGGCTCCATACCTTATACACTGAAATGCTAACAACATTCTAGTTTATTATAGAATAGACTGGAATGAGCATTTGATTCTTATGTGTAGATGGACACTCCAAATGAATATTGTGCTTAGTATACTCTCTAGGCCTTAAATGAAGTTGGCTATTATACGATATGAATTAAATGATTAATGTTTTTTTTACCAATATTGTCATAAACATTTTATTTGCACAGATAGATAAACAGATAATTAAAAAATAGATTTTACATTTGCAGATAATACAAAAATAAAGTTTAAATATTTTGCTAAAATTTTCGATTGAATGATCATTAGGAAGTATTTTGCGAATTCATAGTTTAGTTTCTCTGAGCCTTATGCTCTTTATACAAATTTTTATAGGCATCAAATCTATCCTCAAGTTCCTTTCTAAACGAATAACAGCCATAAGAATTTTGCGATATCTATTTGCAATTCAAACATAAAATTACGTGTATTATAAGCTATTGATTATAGAGCTCAAAGCTTTTGGATGCTTTAATAATGAATTCCTTAATCTTTCGTATCCTTTCTGGAATAACGATTTCTGGTTTTTCGTCATACTATACTTCAAGAAGAAAGATTCCATTATCTTAACAAATGCATCTTTTTTGTCAATCACGATTAACAATATCTCAAGTTTTTTGATGTCTTTATATCAGCTGGTACTATGAAACCGATGCTGGGCTCCTTGCACCTCTAATGTAATTCAATATTTTTGGAAGAAGACATCAAACTCTAATCCGTTTAAGAAAGAAAGGCGATACTCAATTATTGGTTCATCTTTAAGAATTTCCTTAGCTATCTGGATACATCTGTTCTGGAATTTGCGATTTTTCTTAGATTCTCTTTCTGTCTGATTCTGCTCTAGTTTTAGAATTCTATCCTTAAACTCTTTTAAGTCTAACATCATGTCTGTTATTCTCTTCCATAATCTGCTTTATAGGTTTCGCATTTCTGAGGTCAAGTTCGGTAATACGTTGTCTCAATAAATCTATTTCAGATTGCATATCAACTTACTATAATATTTTTATACTCGATATATTAGTATTCAAATCAGTAAAAAATGTAGGTTATACTGAAACCTGTTAACTACGGTAACAGGTTTTGTCAAGAAAATTTACATGATCTGCTTGTAATGTAAAAAAAAATCTAATTAATGATCATGCAAAACACCTCTCGACCGCTCTGAACTAGCTAGATTATTTAGACTCTAATTTAGTTTTAGAGCTAGAAGATTCTAAGTCAGAACAGTAATAATCTTCATCATAATTTTTGATATGAATATTTGGATTTAGCTGATCCATGGCTTTTTTGCTAATATTTTCACATCCTTCTAAATCTAGAGATTTTAAATTGAGACATGAGCGAGCAATTTCTTCAATAATTTTACTTGTAATATTGCAGTAACTAAGATTGAGATGTTGGAGCTTTGGGCAGGAACGTATGATATTACAAATTAATGGTTTACTAACAAAATCACAGCAACACATATCGAGGTATTCTAATTTATAACAAGTATGAGCCAGTGCTTCAGTAACCTTATCAGTGATATCATTACAGTCAATCTCTATATGTTTTAAATTTAGAGATCTTTTGATAATAGCTATAATTAATCTATCATCCCATAAAGTCATAGCATCACAAAAGTCAAGATACTCTATATTGAAATATCTTTGCATTAAAGTATTAACATCTTTAACATTCTCCTTACTATATGCAATATCATATTTTCGTAAATTTGAACATGAGTTTAAGATGCAACTTATAGATTTATTTGTAATCTAACATGCTTCGACAAAATAGAACTCTGTAAATCATGATAATTTTCTGCGATTTCAAACAAGGATTTATTAGTAATATTTCTGCAGTAAGAAATATTTAGATGTTCTAATTTACAGCATAATCATATGATCGTATATAAGCCTTTATCAGTTATTGTTTAAATATCCTACAAATTGAGATATCTTAAATTAGGATATGATTCCGCTATTATAAATAGTGCTTTATCACCAAAACCTATACTATTTTTGATATTTAAATAAATTATATTCAGAAATGTATTTGTAATACTTTTTATTTTTTTATCTGAAAGTGAATAGTAATAGTAATTTCTAGATGGGTTGTATTCAAAACATGAGCTGGCTTATTCTTTTCACACATTATTTTTACAAATATTTCCTATTGAATACAATTTCTCTCACTATAAGTATATCTATCTGAAAAATAGTGTCTATATATCAGATCATTCTCCTTTAGTTTGATATATTTCCATAAACTAGGAATAGCATATCTATACCAAAATCGGTTAACAAATAGAGCAGGATAGAAAGATTTATCTATCGCTAAAAAATGTAAAATCTGTTATAATAGTTCTAGTAAATAAAAGATGCTTGATTGTGTTATAAATAATCTGTATTATACATTGTATCTTCAAATGAAAAAAATATGAAATACAATATATCACGCAAAGCTAATGATTACTGCTCTGGATTAGTAAGATTGGTCAGTCAGTATGTCATTTAAAACTATCACAATTGTATTGAAATTAGGTTGCCTATGTATCTGATATAGGGCTGAATTCTGACTATCTCACATACTTAAATCTAAAAAGCTCTGAAGATCCTGAGCTAAAATTTAATTATTAAATATTCTAATAAGATCAGAAGGCATTAAAATTTCCATAAAATTCTTTTACGTGAATATTTAGATTTAGCTTATCTACAGCTTCTTTACTAACATTGTAACATCCTCTTAAATTAAGATATTTTAAATTAAAACACGAACTAACAATCTCTTCAATCGTTATATCAGTAATTTTATAAAAGCTAAGATCAAGTTGCTAGAGTCTTAGGCAAGAACGAATAACATTGCAAATTGATATTTCAGAAAACTCTGTGTGATTAGAAATATTTAGACATTCTAATTTATGACATGAATCTGCGATTGCAGTTAGACCTTTATCAATTTTCTATTGAAATAAATTACCTAAAACAGATATATTAAGATACTTTAAATTTAGTATGATTCTGCTATTAGCTTTAGAACTTTTCTAACAGACTCAGACTCCATACTTCCTTCAAAATCTAAATGAATTATATTTTAGAATTTGTGTATAATACTTTTGATTTCTTTATTTGAAAGCCGATAGTTTGATATTTTAATATGAGTTAATTTTGAGCTATAAATTAGTTTACGCCCTTTCCTATGTACTATTTTTAAAAATCTTTTT